CAAAATAAATTTATTGAAACAGAACGGGAATTAATTTTGTTTGTTTGTTTTTTTTTAATTCCATTCAATGAGTGTTTTACTGATATTAGCCCCACCTTTCATTAAATGTACAGTCATGTATTAATTTCTTATTATTGCAAGTTTTAAAAATTGTTATCCAGAAATTAGACTTGTATTTCTCATTACAGATATACATGTAATGACGTTTACATATTGTCTAGACTAAAATTGTTTTCCTTTGTATAGTAAAACTTGCAATATTGTATGTTTCCTGCTATTAGCCCGACCGCATGTTCAATAATGGCGGTAAAAATATCAAGATAACATGGATTCCTTCGATGTTTTAAACATTCATCACTACTTCCATGCTCATTGCACTTGGATATGGAAATAAAATTAGAGTATTTTTTGTCAAGATCTAATAACCAAATGTCATTGGCTGATTGAATCTGCAGTTGCAAAAGTGAAAAAAAAAATAAACGGCTCTGAATTGGGGAAATGCTATACGACTGGCATTTACATAGAGCAATTCAGTGTATAAATAATGAACTAATGATTAGTATGAAAAAAGTCAGTCGTCATTTTGACAGAATGATAAATTATATACACATATAGGCACATTATAACCACTTACTAAGTACTTACTTTTAGGTGTGTTTTTCAAACAAACAACTTCAGCCAAACAAATACATCGCAATAATAAATAACATCTTCTACATACATGTAATACTTTACACATATTGCCCTGTATGTACTTTAAATAGTGAAAGCTAAATCCAAAACCATAATAACTGAAAATGATTACGAGATCCTTATACAAACATTTTAATTTCCTGTTCATCTGGAAGTCTAAAAATTATATAATTATTTTACACTAAAAAGCGGTATTATATTCCTTTTTGCTAGCTTATCACCACTCTATACTACAACGTTGAGGCAATTCCCTCTATTCCAACTTATATGTAATAAAATAATTAATTCAAAAGGTGAAATAATCGTACATGTAATAATTATTTAATAATTTAAGGAAAAACTATGTGTTAATCTACTTTTACCTTGGTCCAAACCACCACTAAGTATTAACACCAAACTGAGATGATCATTAAAAATGTCCTTTACAATGTGCATACAGAGGTGTGAGTATCAGTAAAGCGCTGAGTAAATCAAAATGTCGGTCATTGCGTACTAGTTATCTGTATTGAATAGAGGCAATGTTTATTTATTTTATGTCCTTCCTTTTGTATTTATTTTTCTCTTGCTTGGTATTTTGTGTGTTTATGTGTTCCATATTGATAAATATTGCTAAAGGGATTTTTTGTGTTCGTGACTCGCATTATGATCAAGAAAATTTGAAACTTACGGGATTGTTTCTGACTTTCTTTAGAAAAGACCAATCTCATACAGGGTGGTACCTCGTCATCTATATATTTCTGTAGACAGTCAGCAACATACCTAATAATAAGTAAAAGTGCCATGGTCTTCCATTTTGCAAGATGTTCAAGGTTATAAGAGTCAGGTGCCCGTTTTACAAAAGGACCAACGACTTAAGACCAAATTTAATTTTTCATATAACTTTTTAATGAACAATATATCAAAAATTATTTTTAACCTTTTAAAAGGAATGTTATGACACAATTTTACACACAATGTCAAAGAGAATTATTAATTTTGCAAAATTTTACAATGATCTGAAGTTTTTTGGTCTGAGTCGTAAGTTCTTTTGTAAAATGGACACAAGAAAGAAAAAAATCTGTATAGATATTCCATTACATAGTTACTAGCTTATGTACTAGGCATTGCATACAGCAAATAAAGATATCAACACAATAATATTTCTCTGTAATATCAATAAGACTGCTTAACTAATTGAAAACATTATGTGTCAAAGGTAGAAATTCTCGAAAAAAGTTTGATATCAAAAGAACATTTCATGGGAAAGATTTTAAATAAACATTCGTAGCCTTTGTGGCGCAGCGTCTGCTGTAGTATATAGAAGTAAGGAGTAGATCCTTACGTCGAGGGTTCGAATTCCACTGTGGGACGTGGAGACTGGTCCTTCGGATGAGACCGTGTGAACCGAGGTCCCGTGTCGCAGTAGGTGCTGGTGCGAAAAAGACACCTCCCTGATCAATGAGTGCCGAGGATAGGACAGAATTTGTAGCTCTCCACCTGCAAGTTGTTGTGTCTCCATATGAGTAAAAAATTCTCGAGATTAAGGTTAAAGAACATACAAACAAACAAACATAAACATTTTATCAAATAGCAGATAAATAAACTTGCTTTTGGAAACAAACACAACTAGAATATGATGCATTACAACAAACGATAAAAATGCTTTCAAACAAATGTAATTTTAAGTTCCTTTTAAAACTTAAACTACATTTAGTCTCTTACGTAGAGACAGAGCAGTTTTTCCTCATGTTCCTTGTACATGAAGTATTATTTAATTTTTTATTTAAAGGAAGCTATTAATTGTATTTAATTAAATGAAAGTGTTTGCTATTCCTAGTGTTAAGGATTTCCGTATTTGCTCAAAAGAGTTTTCATAATAAACGTTTAAAAACATCATAATAGAAAACACGAGTAAACACTGTGGTCCTTTTTTGTTGCTGAAACCATTATTCCGCACAAAAAATAGATTCGAAGCACAGATTTTAACAATAGGGGCCAGTAGCTTCTCTACAAAACTTTAATTATGATATTTTGGAACAAAAGAAAAAGATGAAGATAACGAACTGTTGTGATCTATCTCAAAGAAATTATAATAAAAATAAATAAATAAATAAACTATGAAAACTAAAAACAGAATAAAATGTAGAGAAGACTTACTCTTATACTTCTTGCCATCGCTTCTCCATAGATAACAAAGAGTCTGGATTAGGAAACTAGTAAAGGTCTATATCAACGGTGGCGATGAGGTATCAAAAGTGTTTGTAGCAATCATGGATATCGATTATGTACAATAAACGCATGATATATAAAGTCTCTTTTGATATACAAGTTACTACCTTAGAACACTTTAAAAAAGTTTTATTTGTTAAATGACCATTCACATTCCAATCCTGTGTTCTCATTTTAGTCGAACAAAGCACCGCCATATCAGGTATTCATAAAAGGAACAATAATGTATGAAAGCTTCCGAAATATCCTTTAAACAAATTGCTTCAATTGATTCGGAAAAAATGACTGATTTTATTTAAGCTACACGAAACGTTAGAAACACAATATATAGTAATGATTCGGGGATTCTTTTATCATGCTGCTTTTTTTATTATCTATTTTAAATGTTTGCTTTCTTTTAACACTATAAGCAGTATTTTACTCTTATTTATGTCAATTATTAAATAATGAAAATGAAAATGAAGATATGAATAAAACAGGTACTAAAAATGGTACTTCTTTTCTTCATTTGGTTAAAAATTTCATGACAAACATTATTTGTGATCCATTTCCATGCTATTTCCTACAAGTAAAGAAAAACAATTAATTTTTTAAGAACTCCAAACAATTTGCGATTCCTACAATGGACACTATAAAAGAATGTCTTTGATATAATTATATAGGAAAATCTTTTGAACAGTCAATTCTCTACAAAATAAAAAACCCAATAACATTCAATCAAAGGTTATTAAGCAGTAACAATTTAGCTTCATTTTTTGATCAACAATAATGTGCAACAATATGACGCATATAAACGCAATTCGTAGACAATCCAATTGTGTACATAACATATGTATTACTGACATTTTGTTTTATTCAAGAGAATAATACGGTTATATACTTCATAACATTTAAATGAAAACCAGTGTAGACATAAGTATACATTGGCACTTATAGATCTAATAACCCCTTCTACCTTCGAAGATCCATGTAATATCTTTGCTTTCCTAGTGGTCGACAGCCTTCTGATCGCACTGGTGAATACGTTAATACCATCGATGGAGTAAAAACGCGTTGATGGCAAATAGCCAGTCAATGACTCGTTTTTATTTTCTTGCAATGAGTAAAGAAAGGTTACTTGAAGCATGGATTGGCCGTAAATGAATTTCACTGTATTGAATTTCACTAAAAATAAATGTACATGTATCTTCATGAAATAAAAACGAAAGAAATGATATTTTAAAGAATATAATGGCTCTGTTCAATAAATCAATTTTCATTTGGAGAGATATGGACACTTAATGAGAAAGAGTGTTTTAAATTGTATTAAAGATCTTCACCTATAAATATCATCCTGTTAAATGCATGAGAAGATGTCGCAAAAAGAATTCCAAACATTAACATGATATTCGTTATTAAATAACAAAAGAATAGATACATCATTTTGTTTAGTTACCAACTGCAAGGGAATACAATTGATATTTAAAAAAAAATACCAATCACTTTGATAATGCCATACCTTTACATCCAGTGGTATGATTACAGTACTCTTCCTCACAATTGCACGTTGACAGACAATCCTTTCCATAAGTAGGGTAGCTACACGGTTGGTCACAGCTACTGCCATTATAACCCTTCATACACTCTATAAGGAATATTGCAAAACTTTTTTTGATATGCAGTACAGTTAAGGTGCGCGTAGAAATATCGACAATATTTTGTAATTAAAAATGAATTCATCATTAATCGGAAAGGCGGTTATTTTTAGTACTATATTCATATCGGATAATTGGTATTATGGTTAATAACTATATATTGAGGACGATTAGATTTTATATATAGACTTGTCATGTGATGCTGCAGTCACTTGATTTTAGCACATTTACTTGCAGTATTGAGGTTACTTATAAATTTCACTAGTGTAAGGGCATAACCAAGGTAAAATTCTAACTTAAGTTTATTAAGATTTTCAACAAGTATTGGAGATTTTGAAAAAGTGCTGCGATCCTATATAGATTCTGCAATTTTACTGTTAAAATCCCACTTGTTTCACCGAATGCTGTATTTTTTGCTCGTCAACGGCATGAAATATTGATATACTTAAATTATTTTCAAGATTTCATCAGGGACACGCAACTTTTTAGATACCTTGATATTTCTAGGACTGATTTGTAGAATCTTACTATGATCCACTGAATGTATGTCCTTGCACTAGATCGATTAATAAAGACCCCCACAATACCCCCGATGTACTTGCATACAAATATACGGCAGTATCAAACAAATACGAAATATACAATAAATATATCAATAAAATCGTGAAAAATGCATTGAATCCAGGTTAATGACCTAGAGAAAAACTGTAAATAAAATTTTAATCAATTATAGAATATATTTTCGTTGAGAAAATATTAGTTGATCTGCTTCTAACTACATATAAACTGCATCACGTTTTACGAAATGACATCACGTCGCCAAGTGGATTGCAATCAGTGAATTGTTTATAACTTGTTATGTGGCATTTAACTATTGGCAAATCAGCATGCTGTAGTAAATTATAATAAAGTTTGATGGTTTCCAACAGGTTAAAATAGCAAATTACCTCATTTTGTAGTATTTATAACAATTGTTGGTTTTTGGAGGATTTCATAGTTAATTTTTCCCGTACAAATTAGGCTCTGTCCCCTTTTTGTAACCTTAACTGTGCTATGTATGAATAATAATGTAATATTTACATTACACATTTGTTTTGAGTAAAATGTTATGAAATCTATGGCACTCAAAAGGCCATAACACGAAAAGAGGTTCAAAACTGAACTTCAAAGAAGTGTAATGTTATAAGCGTAAGTAAACCACAGCTACTGCCATTTTATCCCTTTATTCACACTATACGGAAGATTTGTGTAACTTTTTTATGACGAAAAAAGTCATTGTTTTAAATTTATTTTGATTTTGTTTTAAATTTATTAGTTATTATATTAATAATGTTTACATTTAGTATCCTCACGTTTATGTAAGGAGCAGTTAAGTTATCAAAATAGTCATAAAAGTATCTCTGAATCCACAAAGTTATGTAAATTTATCCACAGTATTTCTTTAAAGTTAAAGATTAAAGTTAATCATATTATATAGGGAAAATTGTCAAATCTCAAATATTTTTGCAGAAAAGGCAAATTTGAATATCAGCAATGCATTTTTTAATTGCAAATTAGTCGGTAAATATATTTTAGGTTAAAAAATGATAGGTATCCGGGCATTCAGAGAAATTGTCATGATTTTTTATACTTATTTAGTATTTTTTTGTCTTCTATTTCCGTCATGTATTCCATAATACATAGTGTTAAAGACTTTTGCTATCATTGCAAGACACCACAAATCACTTCTTATTTCATATCATGCTAATAAGCATTGGTATCTAAGACTGGATTCAAGAAAATCTTTAAAACTGTATCATTTTTGGTGTACAAATGTCAACTTTTACAAGACATTTTCTAAGACTTCAAAAAACCTTGAATCTTATTAAGATGAATAAAATGAAAATTGTTCCAAGAAGAAAAAATCATTTTCAAGCTTCATTTTGATGCATTTCAAATCAAACATTAATTTTTTGAGAAATCCTTCCTGGCTGAGGATCGGATATTCTTAAATATATATATTGAATATAAAATAGATAAAAATCTAAGGCATTTCAAACACCATTACACGAAAATCCTGTGCTGTCGTATCGTGCATGTATACCATCGTATCGTGCGTGTACCCTATCGTATCATGCGTGTATTCTATCTTATCGTGAAATAGAGTTTTTTATTTACCAAATTTAAAATTTAATCTCGTATCATGAAATCTGCTTCACATACGAACACATGCATGATCAAACACACGCTATATATGATTTTTGTACGTGTATTACTGACTATATTGATAATGTCATACCTTTACATCCATTGATATGATCACACTGCTCTTCTCCTCAGTAACAGTTCGACTGACATTTTTTTTCCATAGGTAGGGTAGCTGCAGGGTTGTTCACAATTACGCCATAGTATCCATTCATACACCCTTAAATTTTGATGTATCAAGTAAACTCATATTTGATGCTTTCGATTTTATTTTTGTATAATTTAAGTCTGTAAACATCTATTATTAAATATTTTATTATGTTTCCCCAACAGTCTAGTAGATGTAACCATATACACAGATACAAGTTTTCTTTTTTTAATAACATATATTTACTTCCTTTTTAAAATATTGAATAACACTTTTAAATTCAATTATTAGTAAGTAATTTTTCAATAAACACACTGATACATTCTCCTTCGATCCTAAAAGTGCAATAACTACGAGGAATCCTGAGAAGTCTGAAAAAATACAACAAAAGTTATCTTAATTACGTTTATAAAGGCAATGTACGTGCATTATAGTCAAAATATATTCCTTGTTTGTGTGTGTGTGTGTGAGGCAAGTTTATGTAAGGGTATGTGAGAGGGTGTGTGTGTGAGTGGGAGAGAGAGAGAGAGAGAGAGAGAGATGAAATGGTTAATAATGGTAACTATGACAGCTATGAAAATATAAATCAAGGAAGGCAAAACCTTTTACTTACGGTGGATATACATGTAGCTGATTGAAACTTCCCCGTACACATATAATAACAAGGATAAATGACCGATAGCAGTCTCTGCTACCCATATCTTTTATCTCTACTACATAATATACTACATTAATTTTGCAAAGAAAGGCAAACTATAGGCTTGAATTCCCGTAATACAGACCTCAGTCCTTTGTGTATGACTCAAATAACTTTTTTCTGAATATCATGCAGTCAAATTTCTTTTTATAACATATATTTTCCTACTTCATAAACACTTACAGGAGAAATGGATGTCTCGATAACATTCACTTTATAGATATAAATATATATATTTCTGCGTACGACAGGAAATTATATTTCAGTTTAGAACAACGAATCACAGTACTTACGATCCTCTTCTTAAAAAAAATATACATCTGGTCTTTTTAAAGCATTTACAAGATTAAAAATTTATCAATGCGTTTTTGAAAAAAAAACATATACTCTGATTCAGGCAAAAGTTTAAAGAATGAAACATGGAGAAAGAAAAGTATTCAAGATCAAAAGTCTATATAACAATTCAAAATATATAGGAGCAGAGCAAACACGGAACTTTAAAACATCAGAAGTGGGATCGAGTGCCATGGAGGATTGAGAATCCTCTGCCGAAAAAACAAATAAATATGCTACATTACCCTGTATTTAATCTTGAAAGGGTCCTCTGCGTGGCGCATGGTAAAACAAACCAAACGTGGCAAAAATCCAAAGGACTTAAAAAAACAATCTTCCATTCTTTTAAATGTCAGAAACTTCATAACCAACAACTTTTGTAAACTTTAAATATCAATTTCTCATGATTTAAATATTTGTCTTTTTGAAATAATATACAACAACTTTCTCAATAAAATTGAACTTGTAAATTCGCATATCTTCTGACTAATCACCATAAAAAATTACTAGTACTTCCAAATTGTTGAATATCAATGTGACGCTATTCTGAAGGTGAAACTGAAAAGATGCTGGAGATCTTCATTGACAACCTTTATATGGTCTTTGCAGACCAGGTCTTCTTACAGTCTGATAAAATTACAGGGTGCACTTATTGAAATCCTCTATTAACCGATCTTTTTTAACACACCTAGGAAACAGAATTAATTTTAAAAAATTACAATAAAAAGAAGAAAATCCTTGATTTAGCATTCGATTTGGCTTTCAGAGTTTATTAAGTTTCAGTTTTATCAATTAACAATAATATCCATTCAAATATCGACTCGATTTATCTCAATGAATATACCAGGGTACATTAAAGCTGACATGAACTCTTAAAAAGGCATCAGTTTTCATCTTTGTACGACTTACTACATTCCTGTACGCCTTTGTCCGCCATATTTCTTCGATTCCGCCATATTTAATCGAACATTTTTGGCCACCTGTACCTGCTATATATAGCCTTTTACAATTGTTTCACTTGAGTGATTTTCTATCCTGGCTGTCGACATGTGAACATCCCCGATAGCATAGTTCTTAGAAGTCCATAAACTGACCAATACATGTTTGAAAAGTAAAAATTCAACAAAAACTAGAACTATAACGAGAATTAAATTATTTTTGAATGCATTTGCTGCAATATATAAAATACACTTACACGGAATACATCCAAGTAGAGCAAAAATTCCATGCAGGTCAGTCGAGAAAACGCGTCAAACTCAGTGATAGAAATATTTACCTGAATACTGCTATCGTTACAGGGATGTGCACATGTCGAAAGAATTATCCTATTTTACTTTTATTGAAAAATGCATCTCAGAAATCATGTAATCCATTGCTAACTCAACAGTAAAAATTGCTTGGACACACGTGGTCCATGCCGATCATTTTATTTGGTCAGGGAAAATATCAAAGGTTGAAAGCGCCGTGGGGTTGACTGAAAATAATGCAAATAATTTTTTTCAAGAATAAACATTACTCTTGTCTGTAAATGGTGTAAATAAAATTTTTGAAAACATGGCTTAACTTCATCAAATTTATAATAAAGCATGCATTATTACGAATCATTTACCTTTTGAAGATATGAAGATATTTTCCTGTGAAAGGGGGGGGGGGGTAATAAAACATGCATAACACTTTCATAAAAATATTTTAAGAAATACGTCGGAAACAGATCGGATTTCTTTATGATCAAATATAATCAAATAAATACTGTGTATTGGCTTAAAGTTATTTATAATTTTATGAACAATGAAAGAAAAAGTGAGCAAATTCACATACACCACGCTCCCACAAAAGTCGAAGTGCTGAAATTCACAGAAAAAATAAAGGAATCGTAATTTCCTTGTAATATGCACATCTATACACATTGTCCTAAACATCTGCAAAATTTTGACGAAATTGTGTGCAGCGGTTTATGAGGAATTGCCCTGACAAACTGCTCATCTTTGTATTCAAGATATGGCCAAAATCTAAATGTAAAAGTGTGGAAATTCCCGAAAAAATAAAGATTTCGGAATTTCCTGGTGATGCGCAAATACAGACACATTGACTCCTTTAGATATCTCGAAAGTTCGACAAAACTCTGTGCATAAGTTTATAAAAAGTTGCGCTGACCAAAAAAAAAAGGCTAATTGATGGGTCCAAAACATTATACCTCACGCAACTTGTTGCGAGGGGTATAATAAACGAGTTTGATTCTGTGGTACAATGAAATGAAAATAGAATTTAATGTGAATTAAATTTCTAGACATAAATAATTAATGATTACTAGAAAAAGCAGATAAAAAGAGAGAGGAAACCCCCTGTGAGGATTTCTGCATTCTACCTACAATTACCTTTATAAAAATTCCATTGACTGTTGTCCAGGTTCAGCATATAAGTGTCGGAACCGGGGGTGGCTTTTTTACAAATATATACTTAGTATAGACATTGAATATTGCTGCGTAGGTTTCGCCCCCCCCCCCCCCGCTTTTCACAGACAAGTCGCAGTATAAGTTAAAAAAGAGGAAAATGTTGGTGTTTGGAGAAAAATTTTGTTATTGAAGTTCGAACCAACCCCCCCCCCCCTTTCCCACACGAAATAGGATATTCGTGTTTAGGAAAAGGACATTTCCCCCTTTTTTAAGCTTGTCAGATTTTTTGAATGTATAAAAAAAATTCTTTGCACTTAGCGCCCCCCCCCCCCCCACTTTCAATTTGCTTCCGACGCCAATGCGTTTGAGAAGGTATTTGAGAAAGTTCCCGATGTACCTATTCCTGTGATGTATATTTCACGTTTATTATATCTCCCGCTTGAAAAGTGGGAGGGTATATACTAATAGTTATGTCCGTCCGTCGGTCTGCTACGCTTTGGGGTACCCATCTCTTATCCCAAATCCTCTTATACCACTTAGTGAAATTAAATAAAACTTTCACAGAATCTTATAGGTTTATTACATATTGCCATTGTGCACCTCTTATTTTACTTTTTGATCCTACACATATTTTGGGTTTTCCATAGCAAAACAATGAAACTGCCATTATAATCATATGGGAGGCTGGGGTATCATTTAGTGAGCTCATTCCTCACAGTACCTCTAGTTTCTCTTTCAATTTGGCCATTTGGGTTAACTTCTCGTCCAAATTAAAATTATTATACAATTTATGAAGTTTCGACATCCCGCCTGAAAAAAACCCTTGATCTGTCCTTAGGCTTAATAAATGGACAGCACAAAGTGCGTAGGATCTTATACCTATTACTGCCCTAAGAGATGGTTACGGAGGGAGAGAGAGAGTTAGTTCAATATACGAAAGAGTAAATACAAATTATCCGTATTCAACCAGTGTCAAGACTCCCTACCCTAGCTTTTAAAATTATCTCCCAAATACTCCTACAGAAATTATTTTTAAATATAAAAAAAATAGCTAGACTATCAGGCAGGGATACTGAAATCTCGAAAGTCTCTCTATAACACCATAATTATAAAACATTTATACATACCTCAAAATGCACATACTTTGTGGTCGGAGTGACACATTTAAAAAAAATTACAAAATTGAATTCGGCAGAGATGTCTGTCTTCCAAGAATATTTAGATTACGGTCATGTCAATTATTTTTGCACGCCCCCCCTAAAAAATCAAATACCTAAATGTCAATCTGAACAGGGGATGGCATTTCTTCGTGTGTTTGTGTGTTAAAGAACGTATAGATCTATGTACACATAAAAAAATTGTATTCTGGTGAAGTGCTTTTAAGATTTGAAGTAAATAATTACCGTACATCAAATTACTTGGTTTAGATTTGAGATTAGTACTACAATAATCAGTTATAATTGACAAATGACGCAAACCAACTGCAGACTATATACGTGACTTTGTATAGAATGTATATTAGAACTACATGTAGATAGACAATTCACAATTATAGCTTATGAACAGCAGTTATAATAACCCCCCCCCCCTTCAGCCGCACAAATACCAAATAACTTCTCTTTCCACTTGTGATATTTTCCCTGACCAAAATCTGATCAGCACGGACTAGGTGCTTGTCTGTACGGAGTAATGACAGTGTGTTTACTATTGAGCTTTTACGGAGTTTATTTCTTTTTTGTGATGCATATTTCAATAAATGGAATTCAGAGTGTATATCACTTGACTTGTGCACATCTTCGAACCGATGCAGTAACCTTATTACCAGGTATGGGTACGTTTACAGCGTTCGAGGCGTTTTCTCGATATGCACCAATTGCATAGGGGCCGCAAATCAAAGACGTTGGTTGTTTTGTGCCATTCAAATGATAATAATTTCAAAATGTGTTTGCAGATTTTACTGCTTTTTATTTCAAGTTTATTCTGCATAAATTGGCGCATTGTAAAAATACGTACTCGTGCATCTAAATTTCTCACAAAACTTGCATTTTTTTCTTTTGATTCAAATCAAAAATTATTCAGAAATATGATTATTATTTTGTTTATTGTGGTTTAGAAATGTCTTGATCTCCTTATGAGTTCTCATATATGCTTTACCATCGGAGATGTGCACAAGTCGATACCCAAACCAAAAAATCATTCAACTGTAACGAGCGCATTGGGGTATACATCGTTACTGTGAGACAAGGTATCTGAAAGAAATATGGCGGAATACGGCTATCGTTGGTATGACACAAGTCGTACATAGATGAAAATGTTGCGTTTTTAAGAATTCATGTCAGCTTTAAAGAAACCATGCATATTCTGCAACATCCGTTAAATTGGTGGA